TGTTATGAATGCGTGTATAAGGGTTTCGGGAGTCTGCAGTGTGAGACATTGGCGGAGCCGGGCGATGTTGCGGAGGTGGGGGAAGCCAGAGCGGGTCATGACACGGATGTGGGATAGAAACGATAGTTGAGGGTCAAGTAAGTCGCCAAGGATTCCTGACCGGCTCAATGGGGTGGAGTGTGCATCCTTGGATGGTGATGCTGTCAGCGCCTGAGGTGTGGAGGCGCTGACGGGAGCCAATCAGGAGAGCCTCGGTCTTGTTGATGTTCATCTGAAGAAAGTTAGCTCTCATCCAGGACTTGATGTCTGACAGACATTCTGTCAGAACAGCAGTGGTCCTGGAGTCAAAGGTAGAGGCAGAGAGATACAGTTGGGTGTCATTTGCATACATGTGGAAGTTGACCCCATGTCTGCAGATGATGTCACCAAGAGGGAGCATATAGATATTGAAGAGGAGGGGACCAAGGACAGAGTCCTGAGGAATGCCTGTATACTGTAAAGTGAATTGACTGTATATTTTGTGGGTGAAATGTGGCAGCCAATTGCACTCAGCAGTATCCCACAAACAATTATGTAGGCAATGTGAATGTGATGTGGGGTTGTTCAGATGCATAGGACAGGAATTCCAACCCCTATCCCATGCCATGAGTGGCCTGACCTTTAAATAGAGTGAATGTTTGGTGGTGGAAGTGAAATAGCATGACTGCCAGGCATTCAGGCAGTCCAGAAACATTGAAATGTTCCTTATCTCCATCCATGGTGGCTACAGCTTTTCTGTAAGCTCCGTGAAAATGGATTATTTTGGCTATGTTCAAGGAACATGGCTAATTCTAAACGTTAAAATCCAAGAAAAAAGAAGCGAAGAAATTGGACTTACTGTTTTGAATTCTACTGATCGCACTTTTGAAATACCACCCATGCCTTCAAACCCCAGCCCAGCAACAAACACACTAAGATGGTTGCTTGCTGAACCACTCAAGATGGCTGCCCAAGTACCCAGACTGACAATGAAAATAATAATCCTTACATTTGACATAGTGCCTTTCACGTCGGGAGGATGGCCCATAGTGCCTCATAAGATGTACAGTAAACTGTAGTCACTATGTGTTTTGTGGTTGAACATGGCAGTCGATTTGCATACAGGAATATCTTACAAGCAGGCATGAAATTAGTGATCAATAATGGGAACAGCAATACCCATGTATTTAGCTGCCAGTCACCTCCTGTCTGGAAACCAATGTTCCCGTCATTGTTAGTGGCGTCTAATATTTGCATTTGATGGAAAATGTAACATTGCTACAAGCTTGTGATAGAATAAGCCAATAACTGGCACGCAAATGTGTTTGTGCAAAGTGAGGATCCTGATCGACTTGTGGTGGTGTGCTTTTCTTTTAATAGGAAATATATGTTCATAGTTTTTATTCAGAACAGTAAGCTTGCAATTTGTCATGGCCTTTGCAAGCATTTTCTTTTTTTTACAATAATAAATCTATAGTTTTTTTAAAAAATTCACTCGACTCCTCTTATGCTTCATAATTCTGGCAAGTAATATTCTTTTATTTTTACCTTTTTAAAATAACGTTTATTTGAAAATAGTTTTGCGGACGCCCTCAAGCTCTCCGGTTATGCCAGATTCCACCGGCTTCACAGATCAGCTATAGTGGCACAGCAGTGTTACTAGAAGAAATTGCTGCAGTTACAATCCGATTACAATTTACATAGTGCCTTTCGCAATGGGAGAATGACTCAAAAGTGTTTGAATTTTACAGTTTAAGTGCAGTTTACAGTGTTTGCCCATCTTGCCATTAAAATTGTTTGGGAAGGAATAGAGGTTCACAGAATGGGTTAGAGGGAAGGGGTGGCAGGGTGTTTGGGGTTATTTTGGGTGAGCTCCAGGAATTCTACTTGGTGACTGACAGCCCAGAGCTAACTTGATTCTGTGTACTTAAACTGTTTCTGTAAGTTCAAAGCTTTGAGAAGCCATCCTTCTGGTGTGTGAGTGTGTATTTACATTCACAGAAATCCTTCTGGCTATAGATGTTCCAGAGTCCTGTTACTGGTTAGCATTAGAAATACTAAGAGAACTAATTCCCAGAGTAAAATTGATTCTACTGCTTCTCCCCATTACGCCCGCTGTCTCCCATTTAGCATGTTAGTTTCCTGACAGTAGAGTACACAGCGCTTAGCAGCTGGTTTGTGCAACCATCAGTCAGGAAATTGTATGATAAATAGCAGGTACGGGGGTTTAGTGGCATTTTGTTCTGCTTCAGCAGTTTTAGCCTGACTTTGGAAAAGTCATCATGTGGCATTTTGTCAAGGGTTACAACAGAAGATGGTAACGGTACAGTAACTTATTACACAGACACTTGAGTTATGATGTTCTCCAGATGTATTGTTCATGTGTAAATAATAAGTCACGAGATGGATAATTATGCTGGATCTAGTCACGCAGACCACTTCTAGCCGTACAGGTTGTCCTGAGCACACTGTGCAGCGATGATGGACTGTCTCTGTTTTGTGGCTCAAAGCTGCTGCGTGGAAACGGGGCAGAAATGAACGATTGCCGGAGGAGCCGAGTTCATTTATTTATAGTTGCATTCTGATAGTAATGAAATTCATTGGTTTTCTTCCATTTGTGACAGGTGAAGTGCCTGTGTATGTGTTCAAGCTTGCCTTTGGGTAATTTTCTTTTCTGTGAGAATTGTTAGCGAGATGCTCGTTCAACAGATTTTTAACATCCCAAGTGCTAATGTTAAAGGGTTTGCATGTTTAAGCATTTTCTTTTTAATATATTATAAACCCTTGCCATGTTGCGGTACTTGGCAAATCAGATTCCTCTGTTCTGATCTCAAGAGAGACCGTATATAACCATGAATTGCATAGTCGAAGGTAGAGCCCATCTCAATGGTGGTTTGCACTTGGGTCCAGTTCAGAACTCTTGACAACATGTGCCCTTCACATGCAGACTCCATTCTTTCACTGAACCAATGTTTGACCTGAGATTATTTTCAGCGACTGTTCTGCAGACCTAGATTGTGAGAAGGGGGGATGATGGGATGTGCGTCAGGAAAACCAGCCCTGTCCCTGTACACAGGTCTAATGCTATTTGCTGTCCAACTTCTTCATGGTGGAGCTTATGTGGGTGAATGCCAGCCCTTTTTGTTGTTGGTTCTTTGTTCTCAGTGTCCTTTCTAAGCTCCAATTCTAACGCCTGGAGTATTTTCCCTCACCAGAGCTCAGTGAGACTAGAAGTACAATTGTGAATATCTAGCAAAGAAATGTAGAGGATGCTTTACTGTTTGTTTTGATGACGGCCCACCATTGTGCGTCTCAAAGCAGCGTGAGAGCTTGCACCACCGCTGGTTACAATTCGGTGCTGGACTCTTTCATGTGCTGTCACTTGATGCTCTTCTAAGCTACCGCACTGAATACTGGATGGAAAGAAGTACAAACTATTTGGTTTTTATACTGCCGGCAGCAGCCAAACAGCTCAAAGAACTGCACAGTAATTACTGTCACTTGTAGAGACATTTTTTAATAGGGGAACACGGCAATGTTGAGTCCAGCAAAGTCACACAAAGTAGTCACGAGGCAATTAATCGAGAACAGGGATGGGCCAACTTGCAAATCCCATGCATAAAATCATCACCCTGTGGGCTGTAAATTGTCCATCCCTGATCTAGAGTTGGGTGGTACACTGCGAGAATGCCCTTCTCGTTTTGAATAGTGTCATGTGATCTTTAATAACCTTGGTTTAACGTCCCATTCTAAAGACGACATTTCTAGCAATGCAGCACTCTTCCATTTCTGTGTTGGAATGTCAGCCAAGACAAGGACAGTGTCCTGATGTGGCCATAGTACTATGCAGCATTCATCATTGCCTAATTGGCCTGTGCTCATTCTTGCTTTGGCTGATTTCACTGTCATTCTCAAGGATTGTTTGCTGGATTCAAAAAAAACTATCCCGCGTTCAACCTTCACCATCAACACCTCATCACACAAAGAAAAATACAACTTATGAAACTCAGGTTGGAAGTTCCTCACTTGTAAGTCAGAAGATTCAGTGATTTTTCACGTTGATGACTCAGTGTTTGAAAGATGTATTTGGGTTGCAGGCTCACTCCATTGCTTTGAATAAGAGAGTATCGTGAAGGAGATGTAGTGTCCAAGTCAGTTTTCAACCAATTTTACGGCCCTAAAAGAGCGAACATTTGTTCTTTTATTCTGGAAACTCACCTTAGTTCAGTAGCTTGCAGGGGTAAGGCTGCAGATCTCTATTGACGGCCCTGTACTCTAGTGGTATTTCACTGAGTGTACAACACAGGTCAAGGGAGGGACTCTATCTGATGCTGTATTCTGTGATTTGTGCTATTTTATGCAACTTGTGTTATAACGATAAAAATCCTTGCATTTGATAGAGCGCCTTATCACATCATTGAGATATCACAAAGTGCTTCACAGAAAATACTGTAAAGTGAATTGGCTGTGTATTTTGTGGGCAAAATGCCTCAACATGCTTCACAGGTAATTATTGCTGGGTGAAGCACCTCTCTTTTGTTGAAAATCAGGGTGACCATTTGCACCAGCAAGATAAACAAATGGCAATGGGTTACTCTGGAGGTTTGTTGGAGGGACATGGGCCTGACTGTTTACAGCTGTGCCACTATTGAAAGCATTTTGTGAAATTAATCTGAAATACACTGCCCCTGGCAGAATCATGGTATGTAGAGGTTTTGTTAAAGTAAAACAAATGTAGGCTTGTGTTACTCCTCCAAATACACTCACCGAAGGTGCACCGGTAACTTCTCTCCAATATACTTTGGATCAAAGTCTGAGCCCATGGTACAGAATCTATTAGTTTGTCAGCGCTGCTCTGCTTTTTACAGATCACCTGTGGATCTATTGCGTAGAAAGGCACCATCAAAGGTGCACATACAATGATGAAGCAGTTTGAGATTTGCCTCTAACTTTCTTGCCTTGCATTTTCTTTCATTTTACAGCACCACACCCGCTTTTCCCGTCCTTCCACCCGCCTGTTCCAATCGATGTCCGACATCACGAGGGACGTTACCATTATGACCCCTCTCCCATCGCACCGCTACACGTGTGAGTATCACCTGCACCAGAGCCTCTGTGTCTTGGATAACCTTGTTGCAGTACGAACTGCAGAAAAGTTTGTGGTATTATCGTTAAAGAGGGAATGTCAGCGTCACTTTGAAATCAAACCGAGAATTAGCATTTGTATCAAATTATTAAAAAAAAGTTAAATTAAAAAAATGTTATATATAATATATATAATGTGTGTGTTGTGAGTATGTGTGTGTATTATATATAATATACTGCATATAGGTAAGGAGATCAATTAATAGAGGACAAGACGGGTATTTGGAGTTGAGATACAGATGAGCCATGATCTAATAGAATGGCGAAACAGGCTTGAGGGGCTGAATGGCCTATTCCTGTACCTATGTTCCTAAAACACACAACTAACCTTTTTGGAGGAACTGGCTGAAAAGCCACTTTCTGATCCAGGCGGAGTGTGAATTCACATCAACAAAAATGCATGTGGGCAATGAGATTTTCGGCACCTTAGTGCTCTGTGATCAGCAGCCGAGCCCACACACCAGGTCCTGCTCCACAAGCCTGGGGCTCAGTGCCCCTGTTTTAATTGGGACCGGCTCGGTAGTGATGGCAACGGCAGTACGCTTTTTGGAGCCTATGTTAAGAGCAATCTGAAGCAGTTCAAGCATTTATTTAATTAATTACTCTCTCACATTCATGCCCACCTCTCTCACTCACTTGCACGCTCTGTCCCACACACCTCACACACTTCACCACATGCTCACAAGTACACAGAAATGATCAAGTTGATCAGAAACTATCAAATAGAATACTGTCTTGGAGCACTTGGACTCCTAATTGTGCTAAGGCTCTGTCCCTCCCCTTAACTCTTGAGTTTCTAAACTTTAATTGTACGTATATTGAGGGTCCGACACGATCAGGATCAGTAGCTCGCTTGAAAATCAAATTGATGATGACAGTCAATTCTCAATAGTTTGTTACAGCATTGAGTTTTATACATGGTAAATACAGCGAAAACATGGTTTCCCCAGGACATTGTGCAAATGCAAGAACTGTGGGCGCTTTATTCTTTCTTCACATTCTTTAAACAGTCTTATATACTCCTTTTTCTGTTTCATATAAAATTTTATTTGAATTTACTCAATTAACTGGAAGCATGTCTGAATAGCAGTTCTGAATATGACTAAAAGTGCACAATGGTCAGTCAGGAATATGTAGCTCTTAAATTTTGTACTAGAAGGAGAGGGGGTGAATGTTGCTTTCAGTATGGAGAGAGTTGTCAGTGCTGGGAATTGAAATGTCTTCTACTTGCCGTCGGTATTGCACTGTCGAGTAAAGGGAGAGGCAAAGTACATTTCCTTTTCCCTGCCTCAGCAATGTACTCAACAAAGCATTGAAGAAAGGCATTCGGCTCACAACCCTCTACACGTCTTGGCTTCCCCACTCCACCAGAATTGCCCACTCTAATCTCAATTCCCTGTACTTCTTCAATTGCTTTTTTAGCATTGTTACGGTCTCAACTTCCATGATCACTTTTGGCAAACCATTCTGTGTCCTAACAACCTTCAGAAGAGCACCTCTCTCCTCCCACATTTTGGTATGCAGTTTTGTTTTCCAAAACATTCAATCTCTCAGGCTTCCTGAGTGAAATTGACAGTTTAATGGCATTTAGTACTGAAATTGTGGCAATTTGTAGACTTTTGTCCACTAATACCTGGATTGAGTCTGTCCATACTCACTTCATGTGTATGCTTTTGTTTTCAGCCCATCAGCCTGGGTTTAATTCAAACAAGGTCCCAGAGGACTATTCAATCCCTTGAAACAGATTCTTGAGCTCTGTAAGGTATAACTGATCATGCCATAAGGAACGACTATTGAGCAATGCAAGTTACAGCTTCCAGAACAACTCATAAACTTTCTGTTTGTGGAGTCCTGTAGCTCAGTGGTTAGAGACCTGTGTTCAATTCCAGGCAGGGCGAAATCTTGGGCAAGTTTCCTTACTCCACACGCCTAATAATAATACCTCCAAAACCAAAAACAATAATAAATTGGTCATTTTCAATCTACGACTCTTTGTGGGACATTGCTGTGCGAAATTGGCTGCCGTGTTCGCCCACAAATATACAGTCAATTCACTTTACAGTGTGTTCTGTGAAGCGCTTTGGGACGTCCTCCCGACGTGAAAAGCGCTATATCAAATGCAAGGATTATTATTATTATTACTTTAAACTCTTGTGTAATACGTTGACATGCTCCCTCTTGTACTACTTAGGTTTACCCTGTTCTCTTTCTGAGGGTATATTATCACCAGGAGTTGTGTTGTATTCGAACACCTTTGCCTCATTAATTGGAGACACTTCTGTCAGCTTATGAAATATAGGTCACTTTATCAGAAGCTGCCCACTTTGTTAAAGAGTGAAGAAAATCCACTGTTAAAAGGGACAAATTGCCCTTCCCTCTCAAGATAGTTGTTGAATCCTGTGGTACAATAAGAATTGGGGGATGAGAGGAAATGCCCATAACATGTAATTCATTTTTCACATTTATAAAACTAACTGTTAAAACAATGAAAGTCTACTGTAACTCTGGATAATCTGTGATTATCATACTTTCAGCTTTTTCTTATATTAGGAGTGTTGCAAATAGTTGTACCACTGTGGCCGAGCCACATTCTTAAAATAACATCCCATTCAGGAATATAAGATGTTAGGAGCTAATCAGAAGAAGTGGAAATGCTACTGAGCTGGTTGAAAGATGATTACATGAGAGATTTTACTAAGGTTGCATTATGTTTGATATTTGTCATCATTATCGTTGATGTTGTTTTGTAAAGCCAGAGTCTCTTCTTAAGCAGCACTATTACCTATAATGAAAATTTTATGCTGCATTTCCACAGTCTCCGCTGTCTGCATAAACAAGCACTGTGTGATTGATGGGGATGTCATCTTAACAAACTAACAAATGTAATACAGCAATGGGCTTAGAAGAAGATAATAGAAAAGTGAACCAGAGTGCATTAGATAGGTAATACAAGGTACATTGAAGCTCGAGACAGAGGAAGATAAATTTACTATAACTGGACTTTGAATAACAAAGATTTATTTCTACTGTACAAAATGTCAGTACTTAAACATATACTTCAATGCATAGATTTTTATGGTAACTGATATTAATTGTGTTTATTGAGAAGCTGTATTGCGGATTCTGAGATGATTGATTGATTGATTGATTGATTGTAATCGATTTAAAAATTGTCGATTGATCTGTAATTGGGCCAGTCCATGCACACATTCCATCCACTCACCCAGAGAGTCCCCTCTGCAGAAGACTGGTGAGTGCCGCTGTGATAATGGCATGGTTGCCAAAATACATTTTCCATTGCTAGCTGAGCAACCAACATGCGCTGCATTGGATTAGGAAAGGGGTGTGTAGTGTAGGAGCTGCGTTCTGTTTCCCATAGTTAACGCTCCGTTGTGCAAGACACTGAATCCACGGGTAATGTGGAAGCTTGACATTTATAATTGAATCCATCAGAATATTGAATCATTATTCCCCCCAAAAACCACAAGCATATTTGATTTGGAGAACGCTGCACTCACACTGAATTCCATGTCGCCACCCTAAAATACTATTTGGTTGGCAAGTTTTGTTTAATCTTCGACTTTCTAAGGTATTGAAGTCTTCACTGAACTGCATCTTCACGCGTATAATCTCAAGCCATTCCTTTCGCTATAAAGCAGCACTTCCAACCTGGATGTGGGTTTATGCAATCCTAGAGGGGCTTTTTATCAAATCTATGTCCGGTGAAAGAATTAAAGAAACATTACTGTAAGCGTCAGGACAGCAGTTCTCTGATAGTGGCATTTAAATCTCTCCAGTGGGAAGTGTTACCATCAACATTTAATCATCTTTTTAAATCCAGCATCATTTATAAGGATGATCGAGCATCCTTATTTACCAGAAAATCACCTTTAATGCTGTGGGAAATGATTCATGTTATTCAGATGGCACACTTTGTACCCGTGGCAATCAGTTACACTGCAGTAATTATATGGACTCAGAAGAAAAAATGAAATTGTTTTAAAGCAAGTCCTCCTCAGTGAAGTAATAATTTTTAACACACTTAACGAAGAGCCTAAATTCATGCCTAATATTTTACAAATACTTTTCAGATCAGTCTCCTATTACTGACTTGTAATTAGAATGAGAGTTTGCCTGGAGCTAGGTAATAAATCTAGTACAATCTCTATGTACATTACAGAGAAATGAGGGTAGTTGTGTACTAAGCTCTAGGAAATCTGTGAGCAGGTTTTGCCACTGTCTGCATGGGCATCTCTAATGTTGCATCTTGAGGTCATTTTCTGCTGTTAAAGAATTCATCTGAAAGGGTTTACATGAGGCTGACTAATCCAGATAAAACCACATCTATTAGTGTATCAACAATATGGAACAGAATTAAATTAAAAGCTTGTAAAATGAAATATGTTTCGTATTAGCCACTTGACACTTAATTTGCCTCTGAATAAGGAAGGAAATCGCAAATTAACCTGCCTGTGTTTTTGCTAGGCAGGGCTTATTAGAGTTAATAATAACTGCAATTATCTCTGTGATAATATTAACCTATATGTGTATGAATATGTACTCAAGTGTGGCACCTCTGATGCATTTACGAGTCAAGTTTAACCATCACAGTGTGCTTTTGGTTCATTAAGCAGAATTGCACACGTGCACACCAATGAAAAACAGTGCTGTATAGCAGAAGGGGTTGTAGTTATGTAAAGGCTTTGAACTTTAAATATTTAACAAACATGTGTTTGCTTAAATTTCATTTTCTGTTTTTGTTTCTCATATATGTCATATGTAAAAGAACGAAGGGATAAAAACTTCAAATTGTTTTCAGTATCTCAGAGGAGGAGAACCAGCCTGCATATTCTCCATTCACTAAACCATACCAAGTATAGATTTTCCTTTTAGGATTCAATCTCCCAGGCATCTGCAGTGTATTGTAATGCATTTTGCTGATG